CACACACCCCACACACAGCTAGATTACAAGTCTCATTAGAATTGCCCTTCCTTCAAAAAGATTGCCATACATACTTTAGTTCAGAGACCCTTCTAGGTAGCCTCTCGCTTATTTTAAAAGCCCAACATATGGATAGATTCTACATTTCAGGTCCTGCTGCATACCACTTCTCCATCAACTTTAGTCCCTGTTTTATACACTCAATCAGTTGTTACAACCTACTACATAAACCCCTGCCTGCCCATCACAGTCCCTATATTCACACCAGGGAAGTGTCATGTTCTGATAAGTTTCTTTCCAATTAAGCTCCACATACACATGCAGGGCTAGGTGTCCGGCACTGCATAGTAGTCCATCTCCTACATCCAAAGAACTACTATCACATGATAGTGTAGTTTCCAGGTCCTGCTGTGCTTACCCTCTCAAACAGCTACAGCCCTCTCACACAGGTGTGTTTCAGCTCATGCTAGGTACATACTTTCCTATAACACAAACACACAGAGACAGATGATAATTAACACACAGCATGCCATATAGTTAGGGTTTCTGTTGCTGTGAAGACAGCCCATGACCACTTACAAAGAAAACATTTAATTGGGTGGCTTACAGCTTCCGAGCTTTAGTCTAGCATCATCATGTAAAGACATGGTGGCATGCATGCACACATGGCACTGAAGAAGGAGCTGAGAGTGAATAAGGATCCAGCACTTGATCCTGCAGACAACAGGAAGTTGTCTGAGACACAGGGCATATGCAACCTTGAAGCCTACCTCAGTAGAGATATACTTCCTCCCAGGAGGCCACACCTACTCTGACAAAGACACACCTCCTAATAATGCAACTCCCTGGGAACTTATGGAGGCTATTTGCACTCAAACAACCACAATTCCTCTCACTGGACTCCAATATCTTACAGCAATAGCATAATGCAAAATTCTTTAAGTCCAACATCAATAGTCCCCACATTCTATCATGATCTTAAAAATTTTTAATGTCCAAAGTTGAAAGTCTCTTCTGAGATTCATGCAATCTTTTAACTGTAATCCTTTATAAAAATCAAAACGAAGAAACAGACTACATACATCCAATATATAATGGCACAGGCTTCACATTACTGCCAAAAATACAGGGAAGGGAATATAGTGAGGAAATTCTGGACCAAGGAAGATCAAAAACCAGCTGGGCAATCTCCAAATTCTGTGTCTCCCAGTCTGATGGCAAAATGCTCTTCAGATATCCAACTCCTTTCTGCTTTGCTGACAGCAAGATACTTATTTCTCTTGGTCTGGTTCTACTGCCAATAAGCAACTGTCCAGGGCAGGTATCCCACCCACTGCTCTGGGATCACAAACATCTTCAGGTATTCTAGCCATACCATTCTTTACCTTCTCAGCTTCATGCAATGACCTTTATATGCCTACATTGAGACACACCCCTGAGACATGCCTGGCTTTAATTGCTTTGCCTAGTTAGGGAGGGAGATTGCATAATGTCTTTCTTCTACCCTTGACTCTAAAGAAAGAACCATGTAGCCAAAACTACCAAGTTCTGCTGCTTGTGGAGATGGAACCTGGTCCCTTTGTTCTGTTAAATCATAACCAGATTTCTGTTTTCCATGGTTTCCTTCACTGCCTGTGCTTGGCTGCTCTGGATTTAGCTCTGTAGACAGGGCTGGTATAAAGCTCAACTATTGATCAGCCTCTGCCTCTCTAGAGTTGGGATTAATGTCCTGTACCACTCTACCTGGCTCTAAGCTTTTCTTTAATTTCTTTCCCAAGTTGGAAACTTAACTGGAGAAATCTTGCCCTTAGGTTACCACTCCCTTTATTCCATTTCTTAACCTTTTTATCTCCTAACCACAGAATTTAACTCCATTCCCCTTACTGGCATTCCTTTTCTGCTCTAATTATTCTCTCTCTTGTAGTTTTTCTTGGTAGGCTTGCTCTTTTTCATTATAAATCTTCATTAGAGATTATACTAATAACTGCATGACAGAGTCTATACTATGCTGTTTTGAGATTTACTCTGCCAAAGGAAATTGGTACCAGGGACTGGGGTATTACTGTAATAGGCCAGACCATGTTTTTGTTTGAAGGAATATAGACTTTTCAACTGTGGATTAGGAAAGCTTTTGAAAGCTTTAAGTGCTGCTTAAAGGGCCATACCAGTGGGAGCATGGAAGACAGTGGAGCTTATTGTGAATTGATTTGTGGGTGACTGGATCAGCATGTATCAAATAACAGGAATACTAATATGTGGCCTAGAGACTAGTCATGTGATATTTTGATGTAGAATGTAGCTGCTTTTTGCCTTTGTCTGAAGAGTCTGCCAGAGGCTAAAATCAGGAGTTTTGCATTAATCCCTTTGGCAGAGTAAATCTCAAAACAGCACAGTATAGACTCTGCCATGCAGTTATTAGTGGAATCTCTAATGAGGACTTATAATGACAAAGAGCAAGCTGACCAATCAAAAATACAAGATAGAGAATAATTAGAGTAGAAAAGGAACACCAGAAAGGGGAACGGAGTTAAATTCTGAGTTTAATGAGATAAACAAATTAAGAAATGGAATAAAGGGAGTGGTAACCTAAGGGCAAGATTTCTCCAGTTAAGATTCCTAATTGTGAATGAAATTAATAAAGGCTTAGAGCCAGGTAGAGTGGTACAGGGCATTAATCCCAAGTCTAGAGAGGCAGAGGCTGCTCAATCATTGAATTTATATCAGCTCTGTCTACAGAGCTAAATCCAGAGCAGCCAAGCACAGTCAATGAAGGAAACCATGGAAAACAGAAATCTGGTTATGATTTAACTGAACAAGGGGACTGTGTTCCAGGTCCAGCAAGCAGCAGAACTTGGCAGTTTTTGCTACATGGTTCTTGCTTTAGAGTTAGGGGTAGAAGAAAGACATTATGCAATCTCCCTCCCCTACTAAGCAACGTCATTAAAGCCAGGCATTTGTCAGGAGTGATTCAGAATGAAAGTATATAGAGGTCATTGCATGAAGCTGTGAATGTGAAGCCTGGATTGCCTGGAATACCGCAAGGTGTTTGAGATCCCAGAGCGGTGGGTGGGTTACCTGCCAAGGACAGTGACTTTTTGGGAGTAGAACCAGCACAACAGAAAGAAGGATGTTGCAGTCAGCAAGGCTGAAAGCAGTTGGATATCTGAAGAGGTTTTTGACATCAGACTGGGAGACACAGATTTGGAGTTGGGCCAGCTGGTTTTTGATCTTCT